ATATAATAATAATAATAATAATAATAATAATAATAATAATAATAATAATAATAATAATAATAATAATAATAATAATAACAATAATAATAATAATAATAATAATAATAATAATAATAATAATAATAATAATAATAATAATAATAACAATAATAATAATAATAATAATAATAATAATAATAATAATAATAATAACAATAATAATAATAATAATAATAACAATAATAATAATAACAATAATAATAATAATAATAATAATAATAATAATAATAATAATAATAATAATAATAACAATAATAATAATAATAATAATAATAATAATAATAATAATAATAATAATAATAAAAATAATAAACTACCAACCATTCTTCAAACATGAAAAAATAAAATAAAATAAAAATAACAATAAATACTGATATGGAAAAGTTGAAGAAAAAAATAATAGCAAAAAAAAATAAAATAAAAATGTGAAAGTTTATATCCTGTTAAAATCATATTAATAAAAATTTTTACATGTTACTTTTGTTTTTATTTCCAGTGTTAATGACGGTGTTGTTGGTGATATCCATAACAGTGCCAGTCCTGATGGTCATTATGGGTGAGTGCCACATGAGTTCTCTTTCAGTGCCACTTGAGTACCTTGTCAGTTTCCTTTGAGTGCCACTTCATTGCCTCGTGAGTGTCCTTTGAGTGCCATTCGAGTGCTTCTTGAGTGGCACTGTAATAATTATATCTCTTATTTCCCTCATTTAGGTGAAAATTCGTAACTCCATTTCCCCCTATCTTTATCTTACTAGTTACTCCACTTCCCCCTATGTTTATATTAATAGTGCCTCCATTTCCCCCAGGTAAACAACAACTAAGCCTCCATTTCCCTCTACAGGTGTACAGTACCTTAATGACTGCCCATTAGAGCCGAACATTCCTATTTACCTGTTGGTCGGTGGATGCTTCGGTACTCTCAAGCTCCTCTGGATGCTGTGTCAACAGGTAAGACCCACTGGTGTGAGAGAGAGAGATAACTTGACTAAATCATTTTAGTCATGCCAATTATCACTCAGGTTTTAATAATAATAATAATAATAATAATAACAACAACAACAACAACAACAACAACAACAACAACAATAATAATAATAATAATAATAATAATAATAATACTAATAATAATAATAATAATAATAATAACAATAATAATAATAATATTAACAACAATAATAATAATAATAATACTAATAATAATAATAATAATAATAATAATAATAATAACAATAATAATAATAATAATAATAATAATAATAATAATAATAATAATAACAATAATAATAATAATAATAATAATAATAATAATAATAATAATAATAACAATAATAATAATAATAATAATAATAATAATAATAATAATATAATAATAATAATGATAATAATAATAACAATAATAATAATAATAATAATAATAATAATAATAATAATAATAACAATAATAATAATAATAATAATAATAATAATAACAATAATAATAATAATAATAATAATAATAATAATAATAATAATAATAATAATAACAATAATAATAATAATAATAATAATAATAATAATAACAATAATAATAACTCAACACTACTAACAGTCACTCCCTGAAACGCTAATATAAATGTCACTTTCCTTTCACACTGCCTCACACCTCACACTGCCTCTCACACCTCACACTGCCTCACACCTCACACTGCCTCACACCTCACACTGCCTCACACCTCACACTGCCTCACACTGCCTCCTTCCATAGGTTCGGTCGCGTCGCTATGAACGGATCGACGATGCGTTTGCGGAAGACAGCCTCGATGAGATCTTCACCTCCACCAGTTACCGGGCGACGGACGTAGCTCTCACCATCTTCCTGCTCATCTGGTTCGGCATGGGCAATTACTGGGTCTATAAGATCTATCTCCCCAACTTCCACGTCACTCTCTTCCAGCCTAACGATTGGTGAGTCTTGGGAGAGAGAGAGAGAGAGAGAGAGAGAGAGAGAGAGAGAGAGGTGGTAATAAAAACATCTCAGAATGTTACCACGGTTATTACTTCAATATTTATTTATAATTATTATATTTTTTTTTTACATTTATATTATAAGTATATACATACTTTACAGTGGAGTTGATATACATAAATATGATAAGGGAGGGAAGCAGTACAACATGGGTTATATTAAGGTGGAACAAGAGGACAGAGCTGTCAGGATTGTGTCTAGTTGGCAAATATATTTATTGCAATGGTAATTTCTTATCTATCTACATGATAATTTCTGATAAAACTGTTTTGGTGGTACAATAAAAGCGGGTATATAAAGTAGGTATTACAAAAACTATTAATACTTAGACA